CACGAAGGTTCAAAGATTCGATAGGTGTGGGGACACTACAACCGGAGGAGTTGTCCATCCGAGGAACCAATGCAGAGGTGCTGAGGGTGAAGGTTGGTGTCGAAGGTGGCATGCAAGAGATTGCAACGGGAAGAGGTGCAAAGGGCACTGTGGAAACCAGGTCATCGAGGAGATGGTGCCGCAAGTTGGGAGAACTTTGATGCCCCTTGACAGGAAAGACAATGCAAAGTTGCATGAGGATGCACCGAATACGTTTCGCGCTACGAGGATGTTAGCGGATTGAGTGGGGGAGAATGTCACGGATCGCAAGGTCATGACTTGAAACTTGGCATAACATGGGAATGTCATGGCACAAAGTGAGAAAATAAAATAGACTTATGGCAAATAAGGTCTAAGCTTCGGCGGTATAGGGCGATGAGGGCGTCGCCAAATTCAGTGGGGGAGTGACTTACGCCCCACACGGTCGTGATCGATCCATCCCGGTAGCGGCCGCAAAATAGCGCGGGTAACGCGCTTCAGCAGGACGGAACATCTTGCGATAGGGGACGCAGGCAGATTGTTTTGGACAGAATGCAGGCTGCCTAAATCGTGCAGTTTTTCAGCACGTTAATTAGGTTTTTCTAAGTCCCAATCCAGCCATTTTGGGAGGAAAAATACATGAACCTGCAGCGGGATATTTTGGAATGCAAGTGGGCAACTTGCACGACTTGTCCACTTGGCTACTTGCAAAATGCAAGTTAAGATTGAGTTGGCGAAGATAATATCAAAGATGCAAGTTAAGACCGAGTTGGCGTCAACTTGCAAGGAAAGTTGTAAGATCATCCACTTGACGACAACTAAGCACGAGTTGTAACCAACTAAACACGAGTTGTGACCAACTAAGCATGGGTTGTAAAGTAAATGCATCTTGATCTTAAGGAGGTTTAAGTTTTGTCTATAAATAGAGATGAAAGTCTCATTTGTAAATCATGTAGAGTGAAGTGAGTTTATTCATTAGAGAGATTGTAAAATTTTTCGTTTCATTTATATAAAGAAAGTTTTCACATCCTTACTTATTTTTCATATATTCCTTATTCCAAAATTCTCTTCTCAAAGTGTGTATAATTTAGCCTCATTGGTTAAATTATTTGTGAGCGTAAAAAGACTCACTTAACGTTTTCTCGTGAGGGACGGGAATTGTCGAACGCTAAGGCCGCACGGTTCTAGTTGTTCGGGTGTAACGAAACTAGGTCCGTGACACTGCTTTTTAAAGGGTTCTTGACATATTTTTGGGTCTATCATTTCAATCATACACATATCCTTTTTAATTCCAAGATAATTAGCAATAAACATACAAATATTAATATAACGAAGTAATAAGTGCTTAATGTATTTTCTGTTGCTACCATATCTGCTTGTTTCAGGGTCATTCCCATCTTCACCTCCACCTCAGGCATCTCCTACCCCTCTAATTGCTGCCAGTCCGGCTCAACTTTCCTCGAGCACAAAGGGGAATCATCAAAACTACCACCTTTCATTGGTTCCGAGCATTGGCATTGCAGTTACAGCATTGGCTTCTGTGATGCTGGTAGTCTTGATTATTCTTATCCGTAAGAAAAGACGAGAGCTTGATGATTCTGATACAGATGATAAGACATCCTCGAAATCCATTCCTCGCGCTGCAAGAAAATTTCAGGATGGTACATTCTGATTCTGATTTTTCTTTCTTCAGTGTGTCTATATTTTGGTAGTATGAACTATGAAGTGATAATTAAATCAGTTGCTGAATTTCCTAATTGTTTTTCGTCGGATGACAATATGAATTACATGAAGGTCCATCCTCTATGTTCAGAAAATTCGGCTACAGAGATACAAGGAAAGCTACTGATAACTTCAACACCATCATTGGACAAGGAGGATTTGGTACTGTGTATAAAGCGAGGTTTCATGATGGTTTAGTGGTAGCCGTGAAGCAGATGAACATGGTGTCAAAGCAGGCAGAGGACGAGTTTTGCCGAGAAATCGAGCTCCTTGCTCGACTACATCATCGCCATCTCGTTTCTCTGAGGGGCTTCTGCATTAAAAGACATGAGAGGTCATTCAGTTGCGTTTTTTGTTCCTTAATTATTATGCCCATCCTACATCAGAAAACACATGTTTTATTTTGCACACTGGATAAACCTAAAGGAACATGTTTTATGGCAGGTTTCTCATGTATGAATATATGGAAAATGGAAGCTTAAAGGATCATCTTCTGAGTATGTCTTTGTTCTTTTGATCTCATTCCGGTATCTGGCTTGTTAGAAAAGCTTAAAAATAATTCATCAATGTTTATTTGACTGTCCAAATGCTTGTTCTCAGCCCCAACTAGACCTCCTCTGAGTTGGCGAGCAAGAATTCAGATTGCAATTGATGTGGCAAATGCATTGGTAATTTTCAAATAAAGCTGATTTACGAAAATCAATTATTAATACTATTTCAAAACTGCCATACTTGTTCCTGATTACATTTCTTCATGCAGGAGTACCTTCACTTCTATTGTAACCCTCCTCTGTGTCATAGAGATATTAAGTCGAGCAATATATTACTAGATGAGAATTTTGTTGCCAAGGTAATACACTCAATAGTAAACTCCATATGTTATTTAACTGTATGGTTATGAATTCTGGGATCCTATTTTCTCTTTTCTTTTCCCTTTTTTCAGTGAACCAGTAGCATGGTACAACTATAAGCTAAATTTCGTATTTACTAATTTGTGGGCTATATAATTCCCTTTTTTACCACTTTGTTCAATGCAACATAAAGATCTGATGAAATCCTTTTGATCTACTTCTTTCTTATCTAACCTATTCCACTAGGATTGCATAGCTCTCTTGAAGAAAACTTCTTTTGGGTAACAAAACATTGTTCTCGCCACTAAGTTCTTCCCTTATTATTTTGTACTGAATTGGAGTCATTTAATTCACGTATGGCTGCACATCCACCTCAACATTTGTAATTTCTGTAGCATTCAGTGTGACCTAACATTCAGGGTCATAGATGACGATTGATATGATAACCATTGTGCAGAACATGTCTTTAAACTTGATCGGTAACATGGTAAAAAGATAGTTCTTTTTGGTCTATTTCTCCTAGGCAATTAGCATACCTTGGATTTAGTTAAAGTTCCAAAAGAAAATATAAGCAATGACGTTAAATTTTCCTGTTTTGACACTAACTGTGGAGGACTCATTGTATCTTAACGCACATCTAGGTTGCTGATTTTGGCCTTGCTCATGCTTCAAAAGATGGCTCTGTTTGCTTCGAACCCGTAAACACTGATATCCGGGGAACTCCAGGTTAGACAAAATCCTCTTTGATTATAAACTCCAACTTTATAGCTTATTAACAGATACGAAAACATTAAATGTTTGTTTGGTACAGTGGACTCTCCGTTAATCAACAATATTAATAGCATGTTTGACTACATGTAAAAAGATCACTTATAAGTAAATAAGTTAGTTTTAAAATACATAATTTTTTTATTGGTTAAAGTTGACCTATTAAGTTACTTATTTTGACACTAAAGAGTAACTTTCAAGTAACTTAAGTTGTTTTCAAGCTTAGCCCGACATAAGCAAAAGAAGTTAAATCTTGTCTATTATAATATCAAGTTCAGTCCAATATTGCATACCAAATGCACCCTAAATGATTATCAGGTTTGACAAAATCTTCTTTTGCAATGGACTTACCTTTTATGCATTATCCAGTGATATCAAAACATTAAATGATTGTCAGGTTACATGGATCCGGAATATGTGGTTACTCGAGAGCTTACAGAGAAAAGTGACATTTACAGTTATGGAGTTGTGTTATTAGAGCTAGTTACCGCAAGACGAGCAATACAAGACAACACAAATTTGGTCGAATGGTCTCAACCATTTTTGACTTCAGAATTTAGAATAACTGAGCTTGTGGACCCCAATCTCAGGGATGCTTTTGACTTCGATCAACTTCAAACAATTGTAGAAATCGTGAAATGGTGCACTCAAAAAGAAGGGAGGGCACGACCATCAATTAAGCAAGTCCTCAGACTTTTGTATGAGAGTACTGAAGTAATGCACAGTGGGTTTGTTGAAGCTATGGAAGATGAAGAATATGGAGAAACTGAGGGTAGGGGAAGGACGAGCAGAGGTAACACAAAGAGAGGCGAAGGTATATTTTTCAGTGGTGATGTACGTGGGCTAGCTTCTTCTTCGAGTACGTCTAGGTCATATTGTAGTCGAAGCTTCCTACTTGAAACCGGCTCACCTCAGTCACCTCATAATATCCCGTCTATATAAGCCCAGTTATGCAGCTTTATCCACAATTACTTTGTGCAGTGGGAGACTAATTCAGCAACAAGCGAGGGAACAGTTGACATCTATTTTGTGCATAATTGTCTACTGCTAATAACTTGCTAAGGATTAATACAAATGGAAGAATTGCAAATGTTATTATGTACTATTTACCTTTCGGAGTGAAATGCTTTGCGGATTTTGGAATAGCAAAGAATATGAGCAAATAATATTTCTAGGGATGAGAAAGCCAAATAACCTGGAGAGAAATCACTGTGTGGTAAATTAGAAGGAGCAAAATGTGTTTGCCAATGTCTGTTGAAATTTTGTAAGGAATAAAATTTTACTGTTTCATACTTCTAATGTTCTTTGGCAGTTAGATTTGAGATGTTAAATGCACACAAAAACCATTTTTTTTATTTCCCTTCTTCTTTTATGCTTCTCATTTTCTTTGAAGAATTTGTTAATGTTGATTCAATCTGTTCTAAAATTACAAGGCTGCGTTTGGACTGGATTAGATTGTACGAGGAATTTAGTTTAAAATTATAATGAAATAGTAGAAAGTAAATGGTATTGTAGTGAATTAAAATGGTCAGTATTTTAATTGTTCATCATTCGCATTATTAACTGTATAACATAACATAACATGATATTGAACATGAAAGATGAGTTAAGCAAGATACGAAATATATGATAAATGACATTTTTTTAAATGAAAAATCAAATCCCATTATCCATCTTAGTCTGTCCAAAATAATCTCCACCTAGTAATATACAATATAGTTTCATCTAAATTCATTATACGAGCGAACCAAAAGTAAACTATATAGATAGCATCATTCTATCTATAATTAAAGAACATGATCGTGCACTATATAGTCCTATCTAGCAATGCGTATCTAACATGTGAAGGATAAGCTCATTATGATAATACAGTTTGCTCTTGCCATTTGTCTCTTCACTGCTTTATATGTCATTGTCCACGTCAGGAAAGATCGACCAACCTACATCGACTGCAATGATACACAAGCACACGTATCATAGTTTTGCAACTGAGGAGAAAGGGATTTCTGTTCTTCGACTGGAAATGAAAGCGCCCTTGTGCACACCATTGTAGGTGATGGAAAGTATAGAAATTTGCTAGTCAAACAGTGCTTGGCGATGGAAGAATCTGAGTCACTGGGACCTTCATACAGGTTGAATGTGCTCTAGTCATCACTGCAATGACACACAAGCACCCGTATCATAGTTTTGCAACTGAGGAGAAAGGGATTTCTGTTCTTCGACTGGAAAAGAAAGCGCCCTCATGCACACCATTGTAGGTGATGGATAGTATAGAAATTTGCTATTGCTGGGACCTTCATACAGGTTGAATGTGCTCGTCATCAAACCAGAAGCAAACTCTAATGCTCGATACACTAACTCCTGAATATCATCAACATATTCCATGGATAATGAAACATAAATGTGCTGGTGGTCTTAAAAAATACATAACTACCTTCACCTTTCTCCACTTCGATACTTTGCTGTATCATGTATGCCTATACCTAAGTATTCCATATACAGAAATTGCAGAAAATACAATCGTCAAATCAGAATGGCCAGATGGTCGTACCAATTTAAGAACACATATTGGTCCATTTTACTCAATTCAGAGGTCACTTTCTGCAATGCAGTAATATGGAGAATCTCCAAAAGAAAATATGAACTAATTACCATAAAGTAGGAAACCAGTGTTGAAAATAGTATGAGCATGCATCATCTGCTTCCAACTGAACAGCGTAAAAGGTCCAAATGGAATTGGGATCATAGATGCAAAATTGAGTTCTGGTGGCCACAGGGGATGCCATGTGGGCAAAGCCACGGCTTGAGTACCTTATAAAGTATGTACATCAATAGTGAAAATAGCTGTTCTCGGACAGCTGTGACTTGCACATTTCAAGGTAGCATAGCATTGTCATCGACAAGCAGCAACTCCCCTAATGCAAATCCATGGCAGGCTGTTGAAGGAATTTCAATAAACTACCACCTCGAAGAATGATCAATTAAATAAGATGGAAAAATTATGTTAGTTGCAATTGTAAGTAGCAACATTTTCTTGAAAGTGACTCGAGTTTGCTCCTCAACAAGCATTCCCTCATCCCGTAATAATATTCCTAGCATAATCCATAACTGACATGCAAAATTTTTATGTCCAAGTTGATTATTTAAGCCAGTCGATTGGTAATCTTATTTGATAGATTTTATTGGATTTTTCCTGGGGCATTGGGTGTGGAACTAGATTTGAAGACACATAAGAATCACCCTGCTATGGAAGAAACGTTATTTGGAGCCCTGATCATCGGGAGACGAAACAAACATTAGTCAATAACATCTGTTACTAAGTATAGAGTTACATTTCAGAAGCAGATCGTGAAAGAATAATATAGTAAAGGACTAATAGGCTTTAGATCAAAGCTAGAAAACATTTTTAAGCTTCCATTAATTGCAGAAAGAAGCATGATGACAAAGCAACTTTTTCTTTTCCCTTGATTCAGCATAAATATAGCATAAACTGCAAGTACAGAAGGATAGATTGATGACATTATGTTAACACGGATATATCCTTGGTTGATCAGATTCAAATACTATAAATTGAGTGTTACATGAACAATCTTGAGATTAACCAGTGAGCCTAAGTTGGACAAAAGAAAGAATAACAGAAACATCTTTTGCATTGACGTATCCCATTTATAAACCAAAAGGGAATATATAAAGAACGAGGCAGCAAGGAGCATACCTCAATAATACCTTCTCCAACACAATATAATGCCAAGGAAGGAAAGTGAACTCTTCTAGCCACAAACAGCAACTAGAAACTTCCTTTTACTTACTGGTTCCTCTTGCAACACGACAATGTCTCTTACCTTGTCTAGAAGCTCCTCCAAATCATTCACGCCAAAGCTTTGATAATCGATTGATCTTTTATATTTTTGCTGGTAGATAGCCTCAAAACAACCAAGAGAGATGCGGCAATAGTAGCTCACCAAAATCTCTTGAAGCTCGTATTTGAATAGGTTGAGGCTCTCGTCAAAAATTTCAGATTGAGGTGCCATCTCTAAATTAGATTTCTTTATTCCACTGTTGAAATCGTATTCCTTTATGACCACCCTTTCATCATCTGAGGGTTCTTCAGAAGATCCAGCTCCTGCAATAACATCATTGGGATCTTGAGCTTCTTTTCCTCTCTTATCCCTCTTCGCTAAAATTAAGGTACGGGCATTACGGAGGTAGACAAACTTCCTTTTCCCTCTTCCTTCAATAGCCATTGCATCACCCATCTTCTCCAGAATACTTGCAAGCTTAAGTGCTCCATATTCAGACACATACAAAGGCCTCTCATAGATTTTCTGGTATTCAGCAGAAAGACGAATTAGAGGCAAACACCCACCTGATAATTCAAGCAACTTTATCAGTTGGCCCTTTAAACCATTCAGATCTCCAGGTTGCACCCACATTAAGTCATTCTGGTCACGTGAACTAAAAGGTCTTGCTGAAACTTCATTCAACCCAGATGAGAGGCCATGTGATCTGGAAGATGTAGAATAATAAGGCATTGAAATTGAACTACTATTATGTTCAGATGGAGACTTTGAGATCAAAGAGAAATCCCTTTTGTTGCAACAACCTTTTGAGATTCCACTATACACTATAGCTTCTTCTTCATTCTGATAATCTAAGTTGTCATTGATCTGGCATCCAGTAATGTTTGTCGGAACTCCATAAGTAGGAAGTAAAACTTTAGCGGGCGGCACAAATCCTTCCCCACGAGCCATGCTAGGCCAGTCCCAAACAAACTGGCCTGCATTACTCAAAGCAGACGAAACACTCACCCTAGAAGGAATGACAAGAATGATAGTATATCCACGCTGGCCCAAAACATGGAGTGCGGGAGCGAAATCAACATCCCCAGAGATGAGCAGGATGGAAGATGGCGGACGATAATCAAGAGCAAAAAGGAACATGTCAACCAAGATAGCCTTGTCAGCTGCATCCTTCCGCCCATTAGGAACATCTATGAGCTTGACACCTGTTCTCTGACACCCTTCCCGTAGTCGCCTGGGAAATGCATTGAAATCTCCATATGCGGAGAATGTGGTGACAACTCCGTCAATTACAGGATGGACCCGCAATGCCATCCTAATATTACTAGCCACATCTTCTGGGCGGACATCACTTGGCACTGGACAGTTTTCAATGTCCCAGAGTACAGCCACAGGACCTCGTGATGCGCTTCGCATTGGATGTAAATAAGGCTGGTGCAAGTCAGTGCTTGCATTTGCCATGTGTTTCTCTTCCGAGCATTCTGGTGGCAACATTAAAGCAGATATATTTGAACTTGACATCACTGTTCTAACACAGTTCAAGCAGTGTCATCAGGCATCCTGATATCAAGGAGAGGTTGTGAATAACCACAGAAAGTAAACTTCAACGTACTTGCACTTGATACTGAAATAATAATTGACAACAAAATAACGTTCAATCAAGGAGAATGTGATAGTGCAATTGAGCCCAAAGTATTAAATAACATATCAAAATGAGTGAAGAGAGAACATCACTAGTTTCCACTAGAAGTCTTCACTGAAAAATGGCTTCAGTTAGTGATATAGTTTACATTCTGAATCAGTTTACACTAGCACTTCCATATCCCGCTCAAAGATGATATTATTGTTGAAGATAAGATTTAACATGATATCAAGCAAACGTTCTGTGGACAAGGCCATCTCTAAAACCTTAAGCTTTTAGATCAAGTAACTCAATAATTATTCCATACCAGAAGGTCAGTACAGCTAATTATAAATATCAAGAAAGCAAACAAAAGGAGTAGCTAAATTAAAGAGTCATTTTTCTGAATCTTTTCACATCAGATAATGTTTTAAAAATGGTGGAATATCATCATTATAACAACGTAATCTAAAATATGATACACCATTGAGAAGAATATTCAAGAAAGTTATATAAATTAACCCAGACCGTGGCCAAATACCTAAAAATGATTACTCAAATAAAGATAATAATAGATCGACGAACCATAAAAAAATAGATCAATAACACCATTCATTCTTAAGCCGAGAACTGAAGAAATACAAACAAGCAATTAGAGATCCAATATTCTTCCACTAATTTTTCAAATTAGGGCTTCTTAATACGTATCTAATTATATAGGTAATAGCGGGAGAATGACGACTTGCCTAAAACGGAGACGAATCGTGTTCGCGTTTTGAAGATCAGTGCCAATTCTTCAGCAAAAACGGAAAAGGGAAAAACTTTCAATGGGTAGTCCGCGCCTTTATGTTTGATCTTGGATATCGGATAAAACAGTACGAAAATTAATTGGGATTTCTTTTATATCTGGGCGGTGATGGCCGAAACGGATAGGCTGATCGGGGCGGAGGGTTTAATTGGATTTAAGATTTGGACCGATGAACAATAGTTCGTGCGAACTGAACCGACATTTGACGAATGATGATCAAGTGCAGTATACCGTTGTACCATGTGCATTGATGATGTAACAACCCCCCGCCCCTCTCTCTGTTTTGGAGAGCTTAGGTCTTTGTCATTGTAAAATCAGAACTTAAAAATAGTTTGATTAAAGAAAAGGAAAGTAAACTTTTATTTAAAACTTGATTTGGATAGTAAAATTCTGAAGAAATTTTTGAAATTTGGTGCTTTTAAAGCTTTGATTGAAATTCAATATTTTAAAACTTTGAATTTGAAATAAATTCAGTACTCTCAACCGGTTATACAAGGGATTGTGTTTAAATTCTAAAATGCATCTATTATTTAATGATAATTCCAGAATGTCAAGTTTGGATAAGTTTCATCGATTCTCATCAAATTAAGTTATTCGCAAAACTTTAGTTCAATCTAGTACTTTTAACTGATTATAGTAGCAAACGGCTACAGAGAAATTGATTAAAAAATATGGCACTGCCTCTTTTGAATTTTCAAATGGACCCAACTTTCAAGAATATTTTCGACATACGAAGTTTGGATAAGGTTTTTCACTTTTCATCAAATTAAACTATTTTCAAACCTTTGGTTCAGTCTATAGCCTTATAAACGTGCTTTCTAATCAGAAATTAACATATAAGGTCAATTTTTTTATGTACGTATTAATTATGTACTTGTCCATATCAACTCGTGCCGATTTATAGAGAAATTAACATATTATAAAATATTGTAGATTACAACTTGTTCATTTCAACATATAAACCGATTAATCATTTACCTGATCCTACTATTTTCTCGTAATTGTCCACCTCAAATGATTTGTCTTGGATGTCCCATTCGTCGTATAAACTATGAGCTACAAGCTTCAACCCTCAATAAAAATTTATATGCATAGGAAACTATAAACACAATTACTCAATGCATGACCAAAGTATGCAGGTATAAAATTATTAACTGGCAACAACATAACGGTATACTCAATGCCACAAATGCTATGATCAAAGCCATCCAAATCCCAACTTCATTTGACTGTAAACATAGGAACATTACAAGGGGAGCCAGAAGACAATATCGAGTTCTACTTCTCGATATCATTTATCATCTAAGATAGCACTAAACACTAAACAAAGATAAAATCCATCGAGACATTCTTGAATACATTGGACAATTGGTACCTATACAAAGGCCTAATATCACAATTTTGAGCAGGAAAACGAGCAACAGTAAAATGTCTGAAACAGAAGCTTTAGAAGTTGCAATTGGAAAAAGGAAAGAACACGGCAATATCTCAATTTAATTGACCACTTGATGCTTCAATCACAATAGCCACAACTATGAAGCTAGAACCCTCTCAATGGCCGCCACATAGAACTCCTTGGGCATAGTCCCAATTACAGAATCACATTTTTCACCATTCTTGAACAGCAAGACCACTGGCACAGCCTTAACATCATAATTCTCAGCAACTTTCAAGTCATTGTCAGCATCAAGGACAAAGCATTTCAGTCTCCCAGAATATTCTGTTGCAATCTCATCAATGACCCGATGAACCATCCCGCATGGCCCACACCAACTAGCATAAAATTCCACAAGTACAGGGACGTCACTTCCCAAAATCAGTTTTTCCCATGACTTGCCAGTAACCACAGCAGCTGCACAATCAAAGACAAAGCATTTGGAAGAGTGTCAATCTGTCGTGTGCAAATATCAATCTCCACAATCATTGATAAGTAGGCAAAGCCCTTAATCATTAAGGGCTTATTCAATAGTGATTATGAGAATTGATTTTTTGATCTAGAGCAAAAAGTGGATCCCACCTTTGAGTGAAGAATTCAAAAATAACGACTGAAATGGTGGAATAACAGATAAAAAATTGAATTTTTTGGGGTGAACAATTGCTACCAAACATGCACTAAGTAATTTAGAATTTGATAATGATAAATATTTATTTCACAACGTTTAGAATGAAAATCTAAATTCAGAGTTTTCTACCAAGCATTTCATTCAATAATAGAAAGAAATATTTAAAGCTTGATATTATTTCTCATTGAAGAATAGAATTTCACGTATAAATTGGTGAGATTTCATCACTCCATTCAAACCCATGAAGTTCCTCTTTTGAGGATCACTATCAAACACATTCAGAGAGGAGTATGCATCCTGCGTGTCCGCGTGTGTGTGAGAGAGAGAGAAGAGGAAAAAAGCAGCTAAGAAACTTATACGTCTGTGAGAGGTTGAGACCTAAATATCTTCCGTTGATTTGCGCCAGAGATTAAATTTTGAGATTAATTCCAGTTTAGATGTTTGAAAGCAAATGAATGGTTTAGATGTATGACTGATTTCAAATGTATGAACAGATTTGGACCTTAAAACTCTCAATTGAAATTTTACACACTTGAAGTCTTAATATGAAGGCAGTTTGCTTAATCATGGCGACTAGTTAGACAGGAATCCTTTGACTTTGCTTAGCTATATTCAAGCAAGCATTACAGCTCACATACGGCTTTATTAATGTGCAAAAATGCAAAGAGCCGCCATCTAGGTGCCAAACCCCCATTTAAATCTTCGTTTGGTTTGAAATACTAGCCAGTGGATTAAAAAAAAAAAAATGTTAAGTTTGAAGGACTGTCTCTCTAAGAATAAAGATGTCTTGCTTCTGATCTGAACAACATCCTTCATATTCAAATTTGGATATTCTGCTTTTCGGAATGAGTGCTTACCCGCCACTTGAGAAATCTTAAGTAGACATCTAAACTGCATAGTTGAAATATCAAAAAAACTGCAAGTATGCAACCATTCTTTCTTGCTTAAATTATATAGTTTCGACATCCTTATATTTTTCGTACTTGGATTTCTGGGTCGAAAGAACACTTTATGGACTGCGCGGTGTATGCTCTTAATTTTGTTAGCCGTTGATTCCTGAGTGTAGAAGAGCTATCTATAACAAATCTCTGGTCTATTCATAATTTCATTTTATATTAATCTGTCTAAATCTCGATATCTTCTAACCTTTTCACTAGAGAATCCACACCAGATTTTCACCCCAGTTTTATCAGCTTGCGATAAATCAAGCCTATAGACCCTATTTTCAATGTGCGAGTAAGCAATTAATTAGCGTCATAAAATCCACATTTACTAATCAATTCTACAGCACCCATTTCCTGTTTTAGAATAAATATTATTAGAACACCAAGAGAACAGAAATAATTATGCAGCCGATTCTTATACCAATCATAACTAAAACTATCGTAAAAGATAAACGATTACCAAATGAAGTGATCGCGAAAAACCAATACAATTCAATTGCAAGAATTGAGGATTTGAATTACCTTTGGTGTCGCGAAGGCAGAAGACCCGGTGAGATCGGGGTTTCCGGGCCTCTGAGGTCCATTTGAGCCGTGAAGAGAGACCAAATGGGTGATTCAACTGCATTTGAGACCGGGAGTGTGATGAAAGCAGAGGCAAAAGACATGATAGAGAAGAGGGAGCGACGGGGTAACAAGAAGTAGCACAAAATGGTGACGCCATTTTTTCCTGATAATCCAAATCCCACGATTGATCTGTCAGTATGAAATGTTACTGTGGGGTTCCGTCTCTGACTCAGCGTATATACAACCTGCGAATAGGGGTGTCGCCACCTGTGTGAAAACGACGTCGGGCACGTGGGATTTATATTTTTCAAGTGGCATAATTATTAATAGTTTTGAGTTTTTGGTCATAGTTACGGTTCTGGAATTATTTTCGAGAGAAGTGGCTAAATTTATTTGATGTACTTAGGAAGTGTGCGCAATATCATTTTTTTAGAGAGATTGTGGAGTTGATCGTAGTTACCTCTTGAGCATATTGAAAAAAAGCGTAACACTTTTTTGACCACGTTGTCCACTAGAATTCAGCAAGCTCATTTATTTGGGTTCCACCTAAGCTGCTCTATAACGTGACCATCGGTTCTAATGTTCTCAACATAGATGAGTTTGGCCCTCTAAAGGAGAATTGTCGCTAAATATGATTGTCGACTTGTCGTTCTTGTATTGAATAGTGATGGTTAAGATATTGGAGGTGTGAAACTTAGCTTGGCAAGTTTTGCTGAGATCTTCCAAGTTTTTTCATATGTCCGTCATATTCTTGTGAGGCACTGTCCTATTTTGCAAGGTTTATGGTTTTCTCTCAATATCTTGCCATCGGAGTCGAGTGCATTGATGACAATAAAAACCATCTCCTCGAGTTCAAGAGGGCACTCTTCTTCTCTATGTTGCTTTTTTAGCACCATTTCGTTTATTAGAGTATCTTTTCTTCCAGCCTGAAACAAACAACATAAGCCGTGCTTTGGCTAGATTCTCTGTAATGCACCTTTGTGATTGGAAATGGCTTGGAGAGTCTCCTAATTCATTTTCGAGTATGCTTTGATTGATTCATCAGTATAATCTTTATGTGTCAAATTTTATATGGTTAAACTTTTCAGTTGAACTGATATTCTGAAATATTATAACCCAAAAAAGGGTCATAGGATGGAAGAACTATTAGCACCAAATTATTGCACATGTACAGTGAGATACAATTTCACTTCCATCTATAATACACGTTACCAGGCAATAATAGCAGCTGCCGAAAGGACAGATAAACGAACTCATTTTTCTTAATCATATTTTGCATCTGTCAAGTCGGAAATTTACAAGTTCTACCCATCAAATCTAGCATCCAAACTGCAAATATCGAACCTATGCATCTTGGGCCACTACGGGATGCTGCCATGTTTCTTTTTCCGTTCTTAGCACGTCAGCTTCAATCCTCAATTACCTCGTATATGTTTTATTACATCAGATGCTGCTAGTATTCGAGGATGAACAATATGATATTAGTTGCCAATTCATCGCCTTTTCAGCACAGATGAAACACTGAAAACACCATATTTTGTACTTTCTGGTTTGCAGTTCATGGATGCAGCAATGCAAAGGCCTAAGATTTTTCTTGTATCTGCTGGATCAATGAGGCCATCGTCCCAAAGCCTGGCTGTGGAATAATATGCACTGCCTTCTCGATCATATATGCCTCCACAACTCTGTCCCGGAAATTTTCCTCTTCTTCCTTTCTCCACTGCAAAATATGTCAAAAAAGTAATAGTTGCATTGACTTTTCAATTCCAAAAGTGTTTGGATAAGAAAATTTTCTTACTTTTACGTAAAAAAGTTACTTGTTTTGAAAGTAACACTTACTTATTTCCAACACTATCAAAACAAAGAACTTACTTATTTTCAACTTTGACCCATAAAAAAGATAATTCATAAATTTATTTACTTTGAAGTAAGCAATGAGTAAAATTTTTAAGCTCAGTCAGACATGCTCACAATTTCAAAATAGAAGTCCTAGCCGAATTCCAGCCTTCTTCCGGTTGCCCCTTTCTATCTTAGCCAGCAACCCAGCAGCCTGAACAGGGCCACGAGAATTAACAACTGATATTCTGTTTTCCGAAGTACACAGCAGCCAATTTGGTTCTTAAAGGCTAATATTCCTCTCACAATGCTGTCTCAATTTACTGCTATTATGATAAGTTGGAAATTTGAAGGAATAATGTCATTACTTGCAATAAACTAAGATTGCAAGAATACTTGATAAAGGACAAAAAGATAAATGAGAATCCTTGCAATTTGAAATGAAAAAAGCTCGACAAATCTTACCATTTTTATTGGGTTTCAAAATTTTTATACTCAAGTCACTATATGAAACCCACTTAAACTTGTAAGGTTTTCAAAATTTTGAACCAACCTGCATTTTGTCAAGTAAAATTGCATCCAAATAAATTCACATGAATTAAGTTTTAAGCTTCGAAAGGAAATATTCCGCTAGGAGAAAAAATATAAGAAGATATAACTCAAATATGTTAATTGAGAATGTAAAATCATAGTTAGAAGATAGTGATGAGATAAATTTTACATAAAATACAGTCGTTACAATTTGGGATCACATAACTTCCTAAATTGAACTCGATCTAAATGTGTCAATTATAACTTCATTGTCGCATATCGAGAAACCCACCAATATCAAGTAATCATGTTCCAAATTTTTACTAAGAATGTGATTCTTCAACTTCAATTACTTCGATATAGAAGGTGCATATTTCTTCCCATCCTTGAATACACTACTATTCAAAAAATTTAGAAGCTAGATGCTTCATGTTAATATTGATGAACTAATTTAACTCAAGCTTCGTTGGTGAATATAAAGGGACTTTCCTTAATTCAACACAGCCACGGGGCCACTAGATATGCATATCCGGACAGACACATGAGAAACAGTTAGATATAGCATCTGAAAGCCCACAGGCAACAAGAAGAGAGTATGCACACCCTCAAGAGTCATGAGAAATGAATAGATTCTGTGAATAGAAGATACAAGCCTTACCGGTAAATATAGGGAAAATACATGAAAAAAACTAGTACTCTCATCTTGTCCTTAACCTTTTTTATGTAATAGTTACGACAGGTTTTGAAGATTACGCACCAAACATAATTATCAACAATGAATCATATGCACTTTGATAACCATTCATGTTGATATGGTCCATTTCATTTCATAGGCTTTTAAAAAGTTATTTCTAAAATTAAGAAATTACTTTTAAACATATTTGAATAATTTTAAAAATATAATTTCCGCACGAAATTGTTCTATATAAAGTAAACGCAATAGCAGAAGATTATCATTCGAGCCCTTGTTCTCCATAAACCAATTTGTTGTTTCTTTTTCTTTATTCTATTTGTGAAGTTCTAAAATATGTTAAAGAATGTGAGCAAGAACGATTATAACTAATGAAAATAGAAAAGTTAAAAGATTTCAACACTTTTAAAATTAATACAAGGGAAAAGAAAATATTCATACATAATGGACATGTGCCATCAATCATGGAAAAGGGCAAAAAATCGACAAAATTCATATTATAAATTCATCTTCCATGGAGAGGGGGGGAATCTTAAATTTTTCTATACTTCTTTTCATGTGCAAAATTAGAAAAGCAAGGAATCAAATCCTTCTCTCAAATAGATGAATTTGAGGTTGATCATGGAACCGAGTATATAGAACACAAGATGGGCAATATGAGGTAGACTAATGCTGGTCTGCCATGGTGAAACTACTAGGTTCACTACAGGCTCCTCACACTAAGGGGAGAGGGGGGGAATCTTAAATTTTTCTATACTTCTTTTCATGTGCAAAATTAGAAAAGCAAGGAATCAAATCCTTCTCTCAAACAGACGAATTTGAGGTTGATCATGGAACCGAGTACATAGAACACAAGATGGGCAATATGAGGTAGACTAATGCTGGTCTGCCATGGTGAAACTACTAGGTTCACTACAGGCTCCTTTGGGTCCCACCTCAATCCCACTACAAAAAATAGGGCTGACTCACCCATTGTGAGGAGCTAGTGGAACACCTGTAAGATGTTTGGCCTGACACTGTAGCCTGATTCTATGAGGTAATCAAATACTCCATTAACCACATCCAAGGCACATATCAAAAGAACTTGAAGATGAAATGAGAAGCAAATAGATACCACACAAGCCCCAATCTCATAGTACTATAGTTTACAGCATGCCACTCTTTGCTTCTATACATAAAACTACGTACACAATGTATATAATGAGATCTGAATCATATCATAATACACAATCTAATTCGATTCACTAATGACGGTCAATAAATTCGTGGGCTCAACCCTACCAAGGTCCGGTCAGCAACCTTCTCAAGCATATTCTTTTACCTACCCGTGGCATATTTGTTGATTCTGATATCTGTAAACAAACAAAATAAACGTAAACCACAAGATCTACTGGCGAAGAAGAAAATGAAAATGGGCTCTACTTGGATGAGTTTCAGAATGCAGCAATATTTCTTTTTCGTTCAACGTTTAGACTTTGACAAATAATTGAAATCGAGATCGAGCTAGCACTGCCACTTTCAGCAAGATAATTTGAACTCTTCGGTTTAATAAATAAAATGAACAGTAGCATGACATTCTTCTAGTGGTGACTTCATTTCTCCATAGCATACATACAATTGAAGAAAATATAATGATCAGCCCTTTTGGTATCGTCGAGACCTTTCATACTATTATGGAGATGTGAATGAAGGAATTTATAGCAGTTTAAAAGTTTTATACCTGATTTTTCTGCATCTCCATATATTCTGCCTGCAGAAATATGTGAATACAGCAATAACTTCTGTCAAAATTGTGAATTTCCAGTATCATCTTGTAAAGAGTAATTTGACTGCCCAAGTGGACGTACCTGTTTTTTCCGAAACTCTTGGTTCATTTCTCTGAGCTTTGCTACTTCTGCTTCCAATTCCAAGGTATATGCCTGCCATAATTCCATTAATGTTAAGAAAGTTACGAATCGAGAATATGTAGTAAACTAAAAATGTGAATCTAGTGCCGGAAAAACTTAAATAGTCCCATAGTTATGAATCAAAACAGATGCAAACGCCAGACACCCAGGGTGAATAGTAAAACATATCTAAATATTATCCTGTATGATTTTCACGTCAAGTCACTTTAACATCAAACTCAGTCATGCTTTTTTATGTGTGACTGCAGTTATTCAAGAACAAAAGAAATGTCTCACAGAAATCAGTAAATCAATATTTGTGGTTATGATAAATGTGGTCAACAATTTCCAAAGAAGGAAAAAGAGGGCATATCTTTGTCTGAATAGGTATCAGATTGCGTCGTTTCCCTATTATTAACATGTCCATGACAAGTGGCTGCAAAGTCATGGAACAAACGAACTAGTCCCTAAAATATTCCCGGTCAATTTTAATCATCAAGCTGGATTGATCTATAATTATTGTAGTAACTTTAATCAATATCCACAAGAAAGATTTTAAAAACGTAATTATGGGACGGTGCCAAAATGTAAACAGTCATTTTCTGTCCTAGCAATGAGGAAATCCATCCACTATAAGGGGTGGCGCAAAAATATCTAAGATTCCACAATAGTTTTGAGAATCATCGGTTGTAAATCCTCTGTGTTATTCTCTCATTATCGAGTTTATACAACTGGCCATATAGTTATTCTTTAACTGAACACTGAGTTATATATAGTGCATCTTCTCACCTCGCTGCCAAATAAGAAAGAATGAACATGTTCTCAATATTTTGAGGGCAGGATAAACGAATACAGAAGTACAGATGGAGTGTTGTAAATTTCACCTGCTTCCGAGCCCGTGACCTTGCAGCAGACTCCCTGTTTTTCATCATTCTCTTGCGCCTTCTCTCCACTACTTTCTCCAAAGAAGTAGATGATCTCCTTCCTCGACCACCTTCACGTAATGGATAAGGAGAAGGGGACAGTGAATATGTATCTACATCACTCTTAGCAATTGTATCTGAAGTTAGAAGATTTCCGGGAGACCTTCCTGCAACTGTCGAGCCCCCATTGTGTAATGTCCCCATGACCACTTGTCCACCTTGAACTCGAGTATTATTCAAAGGATTTGATATTTCAGCAACTTGACCTCTTACCCCTGGGCTAGCCAGCTTTCCATTGTTACCAGGTTGCATGGGAGATGACAAACTCATTATCGTTTGTTTGGGAAAAAGAGGCTGTGGCTGCCTAGGTTGTTGCTGAAGAGATATAACACCACTTATATTCTTCTCTAAGGCCTGTAAATTATGGACTAAATTGTTGTTCTCTGCAAGTTGATTACCCAATACACCTTGGTTCCGAGGTGGCTGTTGAAATCCTATGGTTGAACCAATGCTGAAACCACTTGCCGGAGGTAAACCATAGATTCCATTGTTATTTGCCGTCCAAGAAGGTTGGATATCTTCTCTAACAACCCCTGCTCTTACCAAGAAATCTTCTAATGTCATTTCACCCAAAGTCGGCTGCCTCACTTCCAAATTTGATCCCCCACCAGTACTTCCATCTTTCGCACCAACAGTTTCTTTAAGCACATCTCTCCACACTTCATCTACAGTTTTCTGACTTAAGGTACGTGGCAGGGTTAGAGATCCTTGCCTGTGCAAATTTCCACCTGGGGCCATCCCATCTCCACTGCCAGGACAAGAAGACATGGCCTGAGTCTCTTCAGCCGTCCAAATGCTTTTCAAAAGATCCTCCATGTTCATGGATCCAAAGTCCTTTCCGGGTCCAGCCAAAGTGCTCTGGAACTCATCAAAGGTCAAGGAATATACGGATGATTGTCGAGCCAATGGATAGTTATCCATTGGTGTTTCCCCGCTGCCATCAGGCTGTGCTGTGTCCCCAAAATTCTTGAAGTTCATGTATGACCCCATTATAGAAAATTGCCAAGAGGGCCACAAGCTGACCAAATATTATAATCGTCACGATTCAGATTCAAGCAAATAGAACAAACAGAATTCTGTGTTCCCCTTTTCCAGCTATCATTTACTTCTTTTTCCTCAAAAATATGAACATGAACAACCAAATCAAGGAAGAAAACAACGGATGAAAAGGGCTAAGACCTTCTAGTACAATTTTTTTATAAAACATCATGCTCGGTGCTCCTGAATCAATTTTTTATATGCAAGGATGATGGATGTTAAAAATTCAAAACATATCTTAATTTAAAGTACTTAAATACTAAAGAAAAATCAATACTTAGCTTTAAAGGGAAAAAACAAAGGGCAAAGAACACTCTTATTTGGTACATGTATTCTATCTACGCAATTCATAGTGACGATCTCAGTCTCTATATTGTACTCTTATTTATCTACAGTTCAACGTGGACAAAAACAAATAAAACCCAATACAACGTTCTTATACACAGTATTTTTTCTCTTTTGCTTTCATCTTTTTCGCCAGCTCGTTTGCAGGTCCAAAAAAACAACCAATACCAATACCGAATCCAGCAAAATTAAGGGAAAAAAATTCCAATCAAAGAATAGTGCATAAATGGGTAATTCAGTAGACGAGAATTCAAAAAACCATAACACTACACCGAAATTACAATTTAGTTCCCACTGTTTCAAAGATCACCTAATTCAATAAAATCGAAACACGAAAAAAGGAAAAGTAAAAACATGTTATTCATATATGTGCGGAAAGTAGAGGGAAAATAACTAATGTTTGACAAGAGAGAGACGACTTTACCCTTTACAGAGAGATCGTGTGATTTCTTCTTCTTCGGCCGTTAATGTTTGCAGGAGGCGACAAGTGTCTTGACAGTCTTCTACCCTTTCGACACGAGTCCTCCCATTTAAAGCTTCAGCCCTTTCTGATTGATTTTAGGTAAAATTACAGAAACGTCCCTAACTTTTTCATTTTTAACAGACTTGATCCTAATTTTCAAATTATGCCAACGAAGGTCCCTAATCTTTCAAAAATATATATCTGGAGTTCATATAGATGGAATTTATCCATTTGATTGTTAGTTGACCAAGGAAGTCAAAATTGAGATCAATTTTGACCATATTATAAAGGGTAAAATGATAAGTTTGCATTTTTTTCACATTAAGTAAGTTAAAAATTAAATTAAAAAATCAAAAATAAAATAAAATAATAATAATAAAAATAAAACATCATCATCTTCTACACCATTCCCCACCAATCCCATCCACTCCAAACAAGTCAAAATCATCGGTTGTCGACCCATCAACCATAGGCGACCCAACCACCATACCATACCATAAAACTAGAAATCAACATCATCCCCAAAAAAAAAATAATAATAATAATAAAAAATAAAATAAATAAAAATAAATTGAACCTCAATCTTGATCCTAATGATTTCTATGAGTTTGACTTCAACTCGAAAGGTGGTGGTGTGATGCTCCATTGTTGAATTTGAAGTTGAAATTCCATTAGAGCTCCCAAGTTAGGCTTGTCAAAAGGAATCAAAATCTCAACTTTTTTCTTCTTTTTTCATTTTCTTGATTTGGGTTTTGTTCTTTAATGTCTTTTGAAAACATTTCTTGATAGAGTGAATTCGGATATGAAAATGATAATTTTTTTTCCCTTTGTAGTATTAGGATTTTTTGGATTTGCACATATCGGTAGTTGCCGACACTGATGGTTGTAGATTGAAGGTAGAGGTGGACGTGTAGTGGTGGTGGTGGTTCTTTCCTCGGATTTGGCTTGTTGACTTAATAATGGTGGTAGTGTGTTGATTCTGTCACCTGAACTTAGCTTGGTGGTGGTGGGTTGTAGGTCGAGATGGTTCTGCTTTTTCCAAATCAAATAGATTGCTTTTAAATTTAATTTTTCACTTGGATTCCATTTGGCAATAAAAAAAATATATATTAAAAAAAAAGGAAAGTGGAGGTAGTAGTGGCTGTGGATCTGGAGGTAGTAGTGGCTGTGGATCTGGTGGCAGTTGCGGTGGTTACTGACTCTGAGCGACGAAGGGTAATAGGGTTTTAGTTTTAGGGTAGGGGTGGGGTTTGGATTGGGGATAAGGTAGTGGTAGAAGATAATAATTTTATTTTTTATTTTTTACTTAATTATTTTTATATGGAAATAGATAAAATTACCTTTTTATCCTTATAGAAATAATTAATAATGTGGTTAAAATCATTTTCTTGGTCAGTTAACGGTCAAATGGATTGATTTCATCCATTTGGACTCCATATACATATTTCTAAAAGGTTAGAGACATCTGTACAAATTAAAAATTAACCTAAAGTTTGCAAAAATATAAAAAGATCAGGGACCGCTGCTGCAAGTTTCCCTTGATTTTATCTTCTTTTTTTATTACGTATTTTTATTACGCGGATGGTGTAATCTTTCTAAACGTGGGCCAATTGGAGTGAAGTCTTGGATGATGTGATGATAGACCAATTACATAGTGTAACGTGTGGAAATATTAGCCGTCAGGATATGGTAGGATATAATGGCAGGCGGCTCGTTTTGATTGGCTGATCTGCGGGTGGGATTAGTGGAGAGTACGGAGAATTTGATGAGAGTGGGTGAGGGAGTGTGCGCAACGTTTGGTCTTGTCTAGGGAAAAAAAATTAATTACAGGGTGCACCCAATAGATGGCTGAATCAATTTTTGGCTAGACGTGACTGGCACATAAGGATCAGACTACTGTCGCTCGGGATTGGATTAATAGATTTTTGTATAAACCATTGCAAAGCAATCAGCACAAAACGTCTGCATCATTCGCGCAATTGCGTTCATACGTAAATTGTTACTATCGTTACAAATTTGGTATTTATACCTTCATTACAATATTTTCTTGCAAAGTTGTTTATTTCCATCTCAAACTATCTACAATATTGCACCAAAATTTGAAGTAAGTTTTGCCTTATTTTGAATCGAATTAAAATTCATCTCCGACTTATTATACTAAATAAACCGTGTTTGATCATCTTCTTCATTTTTTTTTATACTTAACAATTTATTTATTTTACAAGTATTCTTATTTTAATTGATTCCTTAACTGTTATTGATTACATTATTAAAATTTATTACAAACGTTCATAATAAAATAATTTATTGTATTAAAAAATATATAACAAAAATGACACAAATACCCTTAATCAATATGTTTGGAAAATGAAATAGAAGGGTAAAATTGACTTTGCACAATTTTGGTGCAAAATGGTGCATGTTGGAGTGACTTTGCACAAAATGGTGAAATGGTGTTTACCTTGGAGTTGGTCTCACTTCATCAATTACTTCCGTCAAATATGAGTAATTGATGCAAAACACTCCTATAGTTTGTCTTCATTGGGCAAATCATCCATGTCGTTTTAATTTTGACATTTTGATCTCGGATCAACCCGTATCTACACAAAAGATCATTACCATCTATTTTTTTTCCAATTAAATCATTGTAAAATCACAAATTTACCTTTATCTTTATAAAAACAAATAAAAAAGAAAGAAAGAATATATTTGAAAAATTGATGCTAGATTTCAAATTTTTTAAACAATGCAACACGAGTATCAAGTAAAATTTTAAAACATCCTAACAAAAGAAAATATTTCATCTTCATGATTAATCCCAGCTACCCCTACCCCTACCCCTACACCCATCCTCTACCTTTGACCCCCACTAAAATAATTAAAAAGAGAATTAAAAATATAGAAAAATTAAAAATAGAGAAATAAAAACATAAAACGTTTTTCTTCCATGTCCAATTCTACCCCTGACATCAGCTACCACCACACATTCCCACCATTCAGAGATTTAGTTATTTTCACCATTTGAAAAATTTAGGAATTCGACTGCAAACATATTTTTATATCATTCCTTTATATTTCTATCTGTTTATATAAAAAAGAGAGTAAATTAATTATTTTACAATACTTTAATAGAGAAAATAAACGATAAGGACTTTTTATGCAAGAAAATGTTGATATGAGGGTACAAATGTTAAAATTGAAACTTTGTAGGGACGATTTGCACAATAAAAATAGAGAATAGGGACGTTGTGCACTAATTACCCATATTTGATGAAAGAAATTGATGGAAAGGACCAACTCCACAAAAAAAAGGATCGAGTGGGGGTACAAATGCCAAATTTGAAATAATAGGAACAATCTGTGCAATGAGTGCAAACAATGATGACAATTTGTGGAAATACCCAAGTAACACAACCATTGCATAGTTTACCTTATCCACGCGTAGTTAAGCTGTTTACTTTCTTTTTTTTATTGGTTGATCTCTTCCTTATAATGTGATTGAGGACAAATATTGTAAAAAAAATGCTAAAATGTTATTCCCTCTATATTTTCAAGAAGTGTTTTAAATTAAAGGTGGAGAAGAATTCAGACAGTTATACATGGAATTTGAACGCTTCTATATGTATATGAGTTTGTTTCATTTTAATGTGCCCTAACAACAAAACTGAAAGCGCCACTTTTTCATTCTGTGTGCGTAAATAGCAAATGTGAAAATTGGAGAATCACAAAATAATGGCTCCGGTGACTAAAGTCACTATAATCCTACTTTCTCTTATAAGACTCTCTTTGTGTTTACAGTTCATTTTTGTAACTTTAGGTTTCACACCACTGTAGCAAAACTGGTTTGCAGAGCCTTTTCTTATTTTCAACTTTTTAGCAGCCTTTTCTTATTTTCAACTTTTTAGCCTACTTTTTTTGACCATTTAGCAAGATATTATCTTTTACATTTCATTTTCTCCAAACCACTTGCATATTTTCGCCGACTCTATCAATCCAATCTGCATCTCTCTTATACTTCTCCACTTTCATTTTATGTTGAAAACATTAAACTCCCTAACTAAAAAAAGAGTTAGCGATAGAGTAATTGCAACGACAACGAGGACGAGTGAGGTATGCTTTTAATTTTCCTTTTCATGTTGTTGGATTTTTTTTTTTTTTTTTTTTTTTTAAATTTTTTTTTTTTATTTTTCTTTTTATTTTTTTTGGTTTTTTTTTTTTTTTTTTTTTTATAAACTTGTTTTCTTGAAGTTGATGTTTCAACCTAAGACCTTTTTTGAGTGCTGTGATTTTCGTTAGGTAAGTTTTTATTTTGGGGATTTTAGGATTTCATTTATTTTTGGGGATTTTGGGTAAATCATTTTAAGGATCTTTGATTTGTAGACCGAATGTTTTTTTTTTACTTTAAGACTACTAGAGTTTTTAGTACCGAGGTCAACTTCTAAACTCTCTTCTCTTACTTCTTCTCTTATTACCTTTCTCTTTCATTTTGAATTCAATCACTCTAGGGCACATGCAAGCGTTCCTGCTCAATCATAATCTATCATTTTTTCAGATATTTTTACCAAATATGATCGAAGCAAAAATGATTTCATAGAATAGTTTCAACTTTTTGAAATTTGACAGACGATTATCAAACTTAGTACTATCATGTTGTGTGCTTCCCTTGACAAACTTGGAACAGAAAATGACTACAACGTAACATTAGATAAAATATATGAAATCATTGAATTGCAAAAGTAGTAATATTTACTTATAATAATGCAAAGTGATTAACTCTTTTATATAATAATAATAATAATAATAATAATAATAATAATAATAATAATAATAATAATAATAATAATACTCTAGAAATTCTGTAAGACTCATTCAATCTTGTTAGCACAATTGTTGTATATTTTGCTATCGTTAGAGTGCAGAAGAACTTTAATAATAGTAGATATTATTGAGCATCAAGTATTTTCTTCATCAACAAAATATGCAGTAGTCATTTTCAAAGATGAAATTTCTCATAGTAGGAAAAAGTTGACAACGAGAAAGGACACAAGGTAA